CTTTGGGCCACCCCTGTTTACGGGCATTCACACACAAGGGAGTGGGCAACTCTGGGTATTTTTTTTTAAAGATTTATTTATTTATTCATACAGAACTGGGGTACAGGCCAGAGTTGCAGGGGCAGTGAGAGGATTCACCAGAGACAGAGTGGGGAGCAGAGCAGGCAGATCAACGAAGTACACTGCTGAGGGGAGCAGCGGGCGGGTCAGGAGAGGTCTGCCACGCCATGTGGTCACCTCCGGGGCAGGCGGGGATCGAACTCATGCTGAAGTGGCTTTCGATTCTTAGTGCTGCACTTTAACCCCCTGCGCCACCAGAGAGGACCAACTCTGGGTATTTTATTGGAAAGTACTATCCTTTCTTCTCTCTCTATGCACTCCATGCTATTAAAGTTCTTTCACATGCTTTGTCTTTATGTGGCGGATGGCAGAACCCATTTTAAATATGAAGGTTTGGGGAGTCTTGGGGTGCTCCTCAGTCTGCCTATAAAGAGTTTTCCATATTCTTATTTAGAAATAAAAACTTTAGGGTGTTTTGTGTGTTTGATAATGAAGTATGTATAATATAAACATATTTTCCTTCTCCTGCCGTCTGAATGAGAGTTAGGGAAAATTCTTAGTGAAAAGTTAAAACAAAAGCAAACCCATACTGATTTATGAATTGAGGCAAAAACTAAAATTAAAGAAAAATCAGAATAACAATATCACACACTCAAGATTTAATAAGCCTAGAGAATGAAAATGAAATCCACTATTCCAGTAACCCTCTCAGATGATAAGGCAAATCTGCCAAAGTCCTATAAAAAGTGTCTGGACAGTGAAAAAAACAAACAAGCAGTCCCCTCCCACTTCACTTTTACCTAACCAAATGTTGACCTAATTCAATGGTTTTCCAATGATAACTTGGAACCAGTCAATAAATAATATACACCTTCCTGGTTGACATTCACTTAAATCTGTGATTAATTGCCCTTCTCATTCAGCTTTGAAAAAGAACAATTCTCATTACCTTCTCAAGATAAACTCGTGGATATGTGTTCTTTAGGCTCTAAATTTAAGAAGTACTTTGTTCAACTTCTAAACTTTACATTTACGACACATTGTATAACCAACTATTAAAATAAATAATTAAAACAGGAAAGAGTCTAAAGAGGTGGGTCCCTTGGGACTATGGCTTCAAATGCTGGTGTGCCTTGACCAACCCAGTAAAGCCAGAACCACACCCTGGTGGGGCAGAGCCAACTTACACAATGTCTTGGCAGAAGGGTTGTGAGACAGTAGAGACTTGCGTAATCCCTTCTCATTCCTTGGAGAGCTTTCAGGGAGAGAAGAGTGAGATTACTAGCTGTCAAGGGGACTTTGGCTACAATGCTTCCTCCAGGCACAAGAATGGGTTCTGTGCATCAGTGCAAGGGTCAGTGATGATGCCATAGATTCCGGCCACTTTTCAACATTTTTGGAGTTCAATGGTGAATGCTATTTGGCCATAGCAAGGAGAGGTTGTTCCAATCTTTCTCACAATTACCACCCTAATTATTACATTATACTTTCACAGTTTAATCCCTTTACTTGCCTCACTGCCTTCTGGGGACTAAGCAAGCAGTATGGTGTGATGCCTGCTGATGGAGCAAGCGAGGAAGCCTGACTGAGTGCCACCCAGCTGCCAGCTACAAGTGCAGCCAGGTGGGCAAGTCCAGAGTGCTAATCTGGACAGTGACATCTCTGTCTCATCTCAAAATCCCTGAAAGTTGTTCTCTCCAATATGCAGTAAAGCGGAGCTCCATATATCAATGCCAAGAATCACCCTGTGCTCTGCTCTGCTAAGCTTTTGGTAGCCTTTCAGCATCCTAAGGAATAATCAGGCCTAGAATTCCAATTGTTCTCTCCCCGTTATTGCTCAGTAAATACATGTGACAAAACTGTTAATATATAAGCTATCGTGATTTTTTTTAAACGATTATCAGATCATTTTCTCACGTAGCTGTTTCACCTTCAGAAATATACTAAGGGCCAGAGAGTTTAATGCACATCCCTCCCACAGACTTAAAATTGGGCATCCCTTGAAGACAAGAGACATTTATAGGAGGAATTCATTTCAGACCATGGACTTTGTGAGCAAGTATTAAGAAAATTTTGAAAATATGAAAGTCCAAATCAGCATGTTTTATGGCTCAAATATTTGTTGAGTAAGTGGGAGAATGGCTTCCATAATAGAAACCTCTTACTTAAATCAGCATGTGCAGTATTTGTTAATTTATTCTAAAATATCTGCTTTTCTTTGTGTATTTAGACTCAGAGAGGTATAAACTTGAGTTCATAAAATCAAATTGCTCATGTTTGAATTCTTATCAAACAGAACTGTTCTGACACTGTTGGACAATTGGCTTGGTAGGAACCTAAAGATTTCAAGTGTGTTTTTTCTCCTATTTTGCAACATTGGTAAGTAAATGGAAGAGAATTTTGAAATGCCCAAATGTAAAAGGGAGTTTTGTATATTAAACAGCACTGTTTTTACTTACTCTCTTTACACGTGATTTTCAATTCACTTTACCCTGACACATCCCATGAAGTAGATATGAAAACCTCCAAAATACGTGAGAATGAAGAATAGAATTATCCAGTGGATGACAGATTTTTGTAATAGAATACTAGTAAAATATGCCAATGATGGGCCATAAAACAGGAAGATTCAGCTATCAAAATATGTCATTTTAGCTATACCTATGCCACTTTAAATTGGCCTGTGTTTTTTGTAAGCCTACAAAAGTCTATAAAAAAAAATTGAGGCTTAAATTTCCATTCCATGTTAAGAGTCTTTAAAAACTTTGCACTTTAAGGAAACTTTTTAATTGTATTTTCCTCACCCACATCACAAGGAAACTATACAACCGGTAACAGAAAGGTAAGTGGCAAAGGTGCCACCTATCAGCATGTCCTAAGACACCACAAAATCTTCAGTGCCACTGGTTGGGAAGACTCATGCTCCAGACACCCTTAAAAAGGGAGCATGGGAGATAAATCTGTGTACCTACTCGGGGCTTCAAAATCACCATTGGAAGGGTTATCGTTTAATCAAAATAAGCTCTTTCACCCTTTGAAAACCAGTTCATGCCAAAGTTTTCAACTTATTTCATCATGTCCAGCAACCACTGTGACAGTGTTCAAGTGCAAATCAAGATGGATGAGCATCGGAACACTGGAGGGTCACCTAAGGCTGAGTTGCCCTGGGGATTCTGATGACCGAGGCTAGGAATTTGCATTGTCAAGCAATCCCCAAGTGGTGCAAATCCTGCTGGTCCAAGCACAGTTAAAGAGCCTGGATATAGAGCTGGGCACGGCACTCTGGTACTCAACCATGATTTTAATGAAGCTTTTAACTAGGAAGTTTTCAAATATCCTTCTTTGCCCTCCATGCAAAAGGTCAATTAATTTAGAGTTTGGGGACCTGATCTCTAGTATCGGTATTTTCTAAAGGTTTCTAGAAGATTCCAGTGAGCTGGCTCGTATGCCAGAAGACCCCCTGGTACACATGATGGGCTGTTAGAAGACACCCTCTGCCAGCCACTGAGCAGGGTAGCATCACAGATACCCAAGGGATTCTCAGGAAACAGTGTTTTCCTTCCCTTATTCTCTTCAAAAGTCTGCCTAAGAAGGTGAAATAGAATTTTCTGTGAGAATATATCTTCACGTCTTTTTTAAATGAATTGAGTTCTGAATGGTGGATAACTAGTTTAAAAGAACATTTGTAAGGCCCTCCCTGGTGGCACAGCGGGTTAAAGCACTGCACTGAGAAGCTGAAGCCACTTCCGCATGAGTTCGATTCCCGCCTGCCCCAGAGGTGACCACATGGCGTGGCAGACCTCTCCTGACCCGCCCGCTGCTCCCCTCAGCAGTGTACTTCGTCGATCTGCCTGTTCTGCTCCCCACTCTGTCTCTGGTGAATCCTCTCACCCTCCGCATCTCTGGCCTGTACCCCAGTTCTATATGGATAAATAAATAAATCTTTAAAAAAAAAAAAAGGAACATTTGTAAATTTCAATCATAGTTTTCTACACAGTATGTGGGAAAATGTTGTTTATAAATCTGGAGATCTGCAAAGGTTTGGGTATGTCTTATATGTATTGGGGACACGTTTTATTATTTGATATGATTTGGGAGACTTTTATGCCAATTCTTTTCAATCCCAGGGAAGAAGCAGCTGCGTAAATGTAGAGGGAACAGAGTCTCTCCTAGTATAGCCCTGGACCAGCAGTAGCAGCCTCTCTGCAAATTTGCTAGAAATATGAATTCTCCAGATTCTAGCCCAGATTTGCTGAATCAGAAACTCTGGAGGTAGAGCTGGATGATATATGCATTCTCACAAGTTCTCTGAGTATGTCTGATACATGCCCAAGTTAAGAACATATGCCCACCACATTTATTATTTCCATGAATCTTGAGGAGAACTGAAGAGGTAAAAGCATTCATTTATTTGTCCATTTTCTGCACAGGCTACCCTGCTCTGCTGTTTTAAGCTCCACACAAAGCTAATTATTATTCCATCCTTATAGCTTACCAGTGAAGGTAAGACTGAGAGAGCACCTATCTGGGGGTGGAGTTTAGTTTACAAACCTATTTCTACTCTCTACTCAAGATAAAACGAAGATTGTGATTCTTGACTAACAAGTGTGGAAATAAGGTTTTGGACTAACACCAGTGAGTGGTACCTGTAGGAATGGGGAGAAGAGATGAGTCAATGAGGGCAAAGGAGAGAATGGGATGGAGAAGGGGCAATTTGAACTCTTAGTAGTGACCTTCATGTGTAGGTATACAAGTTGATTCTCAGGCATGCACACCTGAAACTTAGATGATGTTATAATTATGAGTGGCCATTAATACAAATAATAAAGGGAAAAATAATAATAAACGGGAAAAACAGCAAGGATAAAACACTAAGACTAGCAAAAAAGGTCAAGGGAGGTAGAGGAAGGGGGCAGGGGACCACCCAGCCCACCACTTACCTTGAATGGTCCTCTTGAAAAAGGCCTTGCAGGCCTCACAGGACGCGACCCCATAGTGGTACCCAGAAGCGATGTCCCCACACACTAAACACAGTCTCTTGGGCATGGAGTTGAGCATGTATTCACACTTGGTCTGGGGGTCTTCCACCAGGGTGCTGGAGCAGTCGTCATACAGTTTCCTGACAGGCCCACTCCCTCCAAGGATAGGAGCAGAAGGGTAGAGAGGTGGCGAGTCAAGTCCGTTCTGATGGCCATTCATGGTGGAACTGTAGCTCCCGCTGGCGTCCGAGGAGCCGCCTGGGCTGTGGTGGTTGACGCTGTCCGTCAGGGAGGCCGGGCTGGAGGGTTCCGTCTTGATGAAGGACGAACAGCTAGAATCAATGTGTCGATCTTTGTTTGACATTCTGCAGAGAAGCCTGATAGAGGGAGAGACACAACACAAGGGGAGAAAGAGGAGGAGAACATGTCAAACCAACAAGGTAGAGACCCAGGAAAAGAAAAAGCAGGTGACAGTGAATGGACGGAGAGAATAAGAATTCCTATGTAAAAGGATTGCGCTATGAAAGAGCTGCTCCTGAAGAGCCAGGGACAGTGCATCACTCATTCTCTGGTCTATACCTCTTGCTCTACAAGAAAGTAATCAGCATAAGGCCATGTCAGGGTTACATCAAAGTGCCCAGATGGGCCATAAACAAGCTGTAATGGGTCCAATTCCTCTATTTCCCCCTTTTCATGGAGAATCTCTGTCAATATCTAAGTCAACTCTCTAGATTCTGAATTTATCAGTGAGAGAGGAATGATTTGCCAAGTCTGTATCGTTTCTCAGAAGGCATTTACCCTGACTCTACTTATTCTTCTGCTTTCTCTCTGATGCCACCACTATTTGATTATAAGCAGAATCAAACTTTCACTTTCAAGGCTGCACAGAGGACTCCTCAGCTCTGTAATTACTGTTTGTCAGCACGCTTCCATAGGCATAACTGTGTTCTTTATTGATCTGACTGAGACACACAGGGAAAATATCCTCAATCACGTTGCTTCTTTATTTAAATTGCTCTATTTCATAGCCATTTAGCAATATAGAAAGGTACCAAGTATGAAGAACTGGCCAATATTTTAGGATTATTTCCTAGAGACTACAAAACTGAGTGAAATGATTACCAGCACTGATGAATATATATGTACGTGGACGGTGTGTTTGCGAATGCATATCTGTGTATATGTGTCTGTGCATATCTGTGTACGCCTGTGTTTGTGTGTACAGGCTTATGTATGTGTGCCTGTGTATATGTGTGTGATTTGCTATTGTTTATGAGTTGTATCAATAAAACCCATGAGCCTCAAGTTTTCCCTAGTTCCATGCATTTGACACTTCATATTGAGTAAGGGAAAAATGCATGAAATTTTGTCCTGAGAAATAGTGGAATTTTTGGTGATCTCTTGCCTCCTCTTCTTTTAGTCTGTTAGCATCGCAATTCCTGGAAGGAAATATGATGAGGCATATCTAATCTGGCAAACCATCTTTCTTATCTAGAAGAAACATTTTGACCCTCTTTCTTTGTTGGACTCACAAGTGATTAAATTTCTGAAAAGGTAATTAGATGAGAAGATATAATGGGTCTGATTTTCATTCCCCTTCACCATAGTGCAAAACCCCTTTTAGCAAATTCTCTCAGCACCTTCTGAGAGCCCACTCTAGAAAGAAGAGGTGACAGTTGAGGAAAAGACCCTGATAATTGCTTCCCAGTGGAAAGGTGATTTATGGGAACCCCACAGGGAAATGGTCATTTGCTAGAGTTTGAGGGAGTAGTCACAGCATAATTTCCAACAGCAGGCAAAGATCGCTTGCCCTTAGAAATCACATGACGTTTTATCACTGTCCACATTTCATGGTCCCCCTCCAAGTCCCATCCCCCCACTTGTTCTGTGAACTTAAAGTCAAGAAAAGTATGGAATTTTCCTTTCAGGGAATATCCATTGGAGAGTAAAGAATTCATTTGCAAGCATAAATTGTCCTACATTAAAAAGTAAAGCAAGCATCTGCCTCTTAGCACATCTATTTCATACCGGCTGTTCTCTTCTGCTTTCTCCAGTGAAGCCACATCAAGATGGAACAAGCAAATAGGAGGGAGAGAGCCACAAAAATACCTCCTGGCTTTCGCCCACCCACGTGTGTTGTCCTTTCCTCAAGAACTAGTGAAGGAACAGCGCTCCTCCCAGCCGGAAGCTGGGCGCGCTCCCTCCTGCATCTGCTGCTGCTGTGCCTTCACTGTTAATGAGCACGGTAATTAATAGATCGCTCTCCTTGTCTCCCTGCTTGCACCCTGGGCTAAGCACTTTCCTCAAGCCAACGTTTGAAAGAAAGCGGGTCGGCGCTGACTTACAGCAGCCCTGTGAATTCCTTTTAATTTAGAGCACTTACACCACCACTTCACTTATTACCTTATAATTACTGGACTGCTCACACATACATTATGATCTCAGGCGAGAGTGAGAAGTTATTAGGGTACTAAAACATGGTGGCTCCCCTTTCCTCGCTTTGGCACTGAATTTCTCACAGCGATGACAATTAACTCTTTCGCCATCTGCCCTGCCAGGCACCACTTCTTTTTGTCTTTGCAGAAGAAAATGCTGGGGACTGTTTGATCACAACCCAGAACTGTCTCTCTGGATCCTCTTTTCTCTTCACTCTCCAGCTTTTGTCTTGTACCTTCTACAGTCAATTTCTTCCTGATTTTCTTCTTGGACTTTCTTACTACCTCCATTGGAAGTTTTCAGAGCTCCTAACTAAGGAACAAGGTCGGAAATTGTCCTTCCATTTATGGAATAGTTGTATATTAAAGCAACAAAAGTTTATGTCTCAAATGTATTTTGTTATTATCCCTGACAAACTGTGTGTATTTTGTCCCAACTGTTGACCTTAATACTTCAAAGAAAGTACTTCACTTTACCCCCAGAAACCCCTTGGAGGGGGGCTATGTCTTCAGGCAAAAGAATCTCAGCTGCCACTCAATTTTCTGAAAGTCACAGTTAAGAAGGGGGAAGAACAGGTTTTGAACTCAGGTGTGTCGCTGCAACCCAGTGTAAAAACATTTTGATATTAATGGAGTTTTTAAAGGTGTTCCCTGAATTAAAAAAAGGAGTAACATGGCAAGTGGGATAGTGATGGCTCAGGGGAGATGACACATCCATAGCTCAGCCATGAGTGACACAAGGTTAGAGAAAGCCATGGGTCTGGCCAGGGGTCGGCCCGGTGGAGTTTCCCTCCCTGGGGTAGGAGTGACACTGAAACAGAACCTCTGAAAGAGCACAGTTTTCTCCTAATTACTACTTACCTTATTACACTGAACACTTCCTAGACACCAACTCATTATACCCTAAAACTATAGCGGTCTTAATTCTCTCCCTCTCTGTCTCTGAAATTCTACAGCTCTATTATTCAAGCCTGAAATATTCACAACTATCTATAAATTCAATTGTCAGCTGGTGGGTTTTATTCTAGACTTCACTTCAATCTAAAATTAGAGGCACTAAAATTCACATTAACTCTAAGAGGAATGTAGTGAATAAGACTTTATTTCCAAAGAACACCTTTTTGTCAGAAAGAACCATTTTCAAGATGATGGCTTTATCTGTAACCAAAGAGAATAAGCCCAATTCCACATTGTGCTGTTAATGCAGAAATTTTAGGTCACATTGGATTAATAAAAATCTAAATTCAGTTAAGAATTATGAATAGAAATAACACGTGTTGGAAGCTGTAAGAAATATTTATTTGAAAGCCTAGGTGTAATTGTCTTTATTTTATTATTTTAAGAGACATGATCAGAAGCACAAGGAAAACTGGTAACTTTCTAAACACCCTTCTCTGAGAATAAACTGGAGCAAATATCAAAAGCAATATCAAGAATTACATTTTGTTTTTATATGTGAAACGAAATCTGTGAATATAAGTCTTCTCGAGGCCAGAGAAATTTCAGTGTTTTAAAAAGCATTCTGACACATTTTGAGATATAGCCTCAGCTAATTCTAATTATTCTGCTTCAATATAGGCACTTGCCTGAGAGTCAGCAAGGTAAAAATGGACTTTGTTGTCAGACACTAACAATCAGGCAAAGAAAACTCCAAAGTTGCTGGGCTATATAAAAATGCAACTTAGAAAGTTAATTAACTGTGCATATGTTTGTGCATGTAGAGTGAGTATGAGACAAAGAACCAACTCCAGTTGCTGTTGTATAGGAATTAAGATATCTGAAAACAAGAATACATCATTGTGAACTAAAATTATCAAGCCTTAGAGATTCTACCTAAATCCAGGTAAATGTGCCACCTTGAGTGAGTTGCCACAAGTTTGAATTTTTATATACAAGAGTCAATATCCAGTGCGGGGTGGTCTACATTTCACAGGAGGGACTTCCTTTAGCCAATCTTTTTATTATTCAACCATTGATATGACATTTATGTGGCATGATCTTATATACTACTAGCACTTTGGTGAAATGGTAAGTTTCTAACAACTTCCATTTAATCCTTGGAATTATGTAACAGTTCTAATTTATTTGCTGCTTTGACATTCCTGATTGTTAGACTAAGGCCAGATTGTCTTAGAAAATTTGATTACACCTATATTAGTAACAGACAAACAGACTAAAGAAACAACTCAAGAAATCACGATTTTATATTATTTATCTTTAGGAGTTGAAGAGGTACCAACAGTCATTATAAATTTCTTGAAAAATATATATCCTGTAATTTTACTTGAGGATACTGAAGCCACAAACTTTCAGTTTATAAGTAAGAAAGAGAAGAGAACGAGTCCTTGACTCTCATTGAAACAGAATTCAGGGTTGGGAGACAAGAAGATTGCCAAGTTCTGACACTTAATCACTACTTATTCAAAATAAGAATGAATCTATGAGGATTTGGTAGGGCTCCTGCCTCCTGAAATCATCGGATGAACAGTTAGGTATCTTTTATTCAAAAAATAAAAGCTTTTATTACCCTGTAGGTTTTGTTTTAATGCTTTTAGAAGAAAACCCCCCTGACGAACACAGCTCCCTGAGGCCCAAGCTTCAAGCCGGCAAGCCCGGCAGCTCCTTTAGCTGCCTGAGTTCCAACTTTAAGCATTCGATTCACAATGGGCTTTTTTCCCCTGCTTCAACTAATTGCACTCTCGTAAAGTGGCAAAATGTGAATCACTTAGTAAGGAAATGGGCACCAGCTGCTATTGTCAGAGAATGGTGATGCCGAAGAAAGGGAAAGCAACCGAATGAAGTGTCATGTCAGAAATCAACGGTGCAACGTGTGATTTGAGAAAACATGACTACTTTACAGAGACAGGGTGTCATTACGGCATCACCGTAATACGATGCTTTGACAACCACAGGGCCTAACATATCATCATTGCATTAAGGTA